ATTTTGGAAATCCGGAAAGTTAGGGGCGAGAATATTGGAAATTTTGGAATTGAGTTTGTGAGGGCTGATCGCCACCCATCCGATGACACACCATGCACATCTACTCAGTTGAGAGGGCATGGTCTGTCAACGGGGGGGGGGGGCGACCATATATATATATATATATACATATACACATATGTGTGTATATACATATATACATATATTTGACGTAAAGGTCTCGCTGCAAACTTGTATCCGTATTAAGCCTCCCGTGATGGGTTTTTTGCTGGTTATGGTATAGGTGGCTGGATCAGGACTACTGACAAAGCCTCCTGCTGGCATTGTGTTTGTTTTAGGTTGTGGCTGCATCCCAAGCTTGCCCAACTTGACAGGGCACACTCGCTACTAATTGGACGCAAGTGCGCAGACGACTCACGCAGATTGCCAAGCTGTGAAAGCGCTAACCCCAAAACCTTGGCTTCGGGTTTCCGGATACGTCAATGGTGAGTTCTGGCAGAGGATACTGCAACTTGCACAACATATATATATATATATATACATAGATATGTAGGCGCACACAGACACGTTTTGTAACAGATGATAGGTTTCGCCTGATCTTTTGATGATTCGGCCTTATGGTGGGGGTGTCTGAGTAGGACAAAACGCGGAAACCGCCTCTTTCTACACAGCCGTGACCAGGAGTAATCTTGAGGTTTGTTGTTTTTATGAATAATTCAGAAAGATACTCCATGCGCGTTTTTCCATTTAAGTACATATGAACATCTATTTAAATATAAATATAAATATATAGATACAAATAGAAATATACATATAGATATACATCTACGTCTACATCTACACCTACATCTACATATATTCTATTCTCATTCTGATCGTAAAGCTTCCCCCACAACTCTGTATTCAAACGTTTCACGTCCCTGTAGCGGTTCCAGCTTCGTTCTCGGAGAGAATGACGACGAGTATATAGCCTCACGCACTGTTGGCATGAGAGTTTCTGAACACAAAAGTATAGAACTGGAAACCCCACCAGTGTCAAGACCCTCTGATGAAAACCCTTTTTTTTGTACTGAATGAGGGGTACATGCTGCTAATCCCTAAACCCCTAAACCGAAGCCCAGGCATGTCCGAGAGTGAGTGCTGAAACCGAAGTCCGTACTTTGTACAGGATGAAGGGTATATGATGCACATCCCGAATCCTAAATGGAAGCGAGTAATCCTCACATGACGGAGCTTTAGCCTCAATCCCATCCTGAAACCAAATGCGTTTGCAGGGGTCGGCTCGAACCTGCGTGGTTTAGGGGCTGTGCGATCATGTCGGTTCACGCAGATCGTCTCGTGGAGCTGTTTCTGCAGTCACTTTGCTGGCATTTCTTGGGTTTCGGGGTATCACGATTCCGTTGCGGGGGTCCTCTGTTTACAGCGTCTGTGCCAGATTCGCTGCGCTAGGATGCTATTGATTGTCTGCAATAGTTCGCCATCGTCCTGGAGTCCTGACCTTGAACCCGAAACCGAAACACCAAATTCTTGTAAACTGTAAAGTTCGTCCCACACATCTTAAAAGCAGTAAAAAGGCGTGAGGTTTTTTCAGCACTTTGGACGAGTAAATAAAGGGTGTGGTGTTTACGAATCTGCGGGTCATTAGGTTTTAGGGTGTATAGTTTTGGCATGGTTTCATCTGTCACTGCCAGTTCAGGTTTCAGGATTTAGGGCCAATATAGGGCCTGGGGCGTTGACGTGGGACATATGAAGTGGAGAGTTCAAGCTTTATAGGTTTTGCTGGCGGGCTTTCACTTGAAACACCTATAGGAGTTTGCCTTTAGGCTGCCACACACTGTCCCCTCATAATGAAGTATGTCCCAAATGCCAACGACTAAGGTCAGCGCGCGGCGATGCTTCCGGTGCATCTTGGAATGTCAAATCCTAGGAGGGCTTTAGAAGCATGTAGGAGTAGTCGGAGTCGGAGGGGCAAGCTGTAGAATTGGTCTCCGACTTCGGGTTTATGCTTCGGTTTGGTGGGTTGTTTCAAAACGATCTTAACAAGCATCCCATTGTTTCGGGTCTGCACAGAAGGGGTGGGTCCCTCGTTTTCTGAAACTCCCACCACTAGAGTTCTAGAACTCTTTGAAATAGAAAAGTTTCAATCATTTGCAATTGAAGAGGACATTGCAATATATTTGTGCAAGGACGACACTTGGTCAACCTTAGGTTTGTTGTTTGTTTTGTGGTTTAGGGTTTTAATATTTGCCAGAGAGCCCATAGAAAACGATTCGTTTTCTTTGCTGCCTGACGGAGTCCAAGAATACATAGAACATAGGGGGATGTAAGTATTGATTATTCCGACCTCTGTAATATGACGGTCCGAACAATAACAAAGGGTTTGGGGGTTGTTGCCTTAGTGTAATTGTAATAGGGAACCCTAAGGAAGGGTGTTGGTAAATCTTGACGCCCCCGACATTGTTCGGTGCGGCGCAGGCTTCCAAGGGCTACTTTGGGTTCAGCTGCTCGGAATTGTTTTAGGGAGCAACATACCGAGGTTGAATGCTTTCAAAATGGTCGTCCTTGGGTTTCCCTTAAAGACCGCCTAAGCCTCCTATATTGTGTTGGCATGGTAGTTCAAGGATTAGGAGATAGCTTAACCTAAACCACTCCAGAAACCTCGTCTGGCAGAGTCCGAGTTACCAAGCTTAAACCCTTCCTGAATCTTCCAGGATCTATCTACGGTTCTGCCCTGTCTAAGGTTCTGCCCAAATCAACCCGAAGCAACCCCTAAGAAACTTTCGTAAATCTGCTCGGCTCAACCATTCCTAAGCGTGCTTATGAGCCCTAAACCCTAGACGCTAGACCCCCCGACATTGTCGAACAAACTTTAACCCCAAAGCGTAGCTCTGGTACGAAGGCAAGCAAGGGGGCAATGCAAGTGCCCGACGACGAGGGCATTCAGCGTGCTATCGCTCACATGGAGGCCACAGTCGGGCTTAGAGCGTTTCAGGGTTTCGGGTCTAAGGCTCGGGGTATGGGTTCAGGGCCTGGGCAAAGGGCTTCGGATTTGGGGCTCTACGGTTCAAGGTGTCGGCCAGCCTGTTCGCCAACATCCTGCATGCTGCAATCTGAAATCTAACAGGCCTGGAAAATTAAAACTAAACATAAGAGTGAGTAGCCAAACATGGTGTCGAGGGCATATTCCCTTTATTTTTTCTCACGGAAGCACTTACATGTTTGGCAAAATTGTGCACGCACACATGCTCAGACACTTGGGCCGGTATGCTTCCGTGTTCTGTAGTATGTGTATCATCACACACACACATGTGTATATACATGTATCATGTATACATGCCTATGTATGTGTTTTTGAATGTTTACAGGTATCGGGGGCTTGCTGCTGCATGTGCTTGCATTTTCTTCTATGTGTGTAGGAATGCTGTGCAGATGTAGGACTGTGTGTTCTTTGTCACTCAAATGACTGCCCGTTGCTGGCAACTTGTTCCAGGAAGATCCTTCTGATGACTTACTTTGCATGGATACTGCGAAATTCATCAGAATGCGAAAGTCTGTTCGCTGCATACGAAGTAGTACCAATGACGATATGCATGCCAAGCAGTGCAGATCAAGCTAATCCTCCACAACGGTGAATATGAATAAAGATGATACCAGTCAGCTGTCAACAGCTGCGAGCACTTACAGCAGTCCTTGCTGTATCCCTGATAGTCTCCTTCCTTTATGGAACCTTTCTAGCAACCCGATGACAGGAACCCTAGAGGTCAGAACCCCACACCCAAATATCTTACCCTGCAATGCGGGGACGCCCTTGCTATGTAGGAGGCAAAAATATAGGGGCCTGAATGCTTCGAATATCGTTTGGGGTATATTATACTATAACTATAGTAACGAAGCCCCAAAATCCTAGTCTAACCAAGGCCCCTACACTCTACACCCTCCCGAAGCGACCGTAAAACCGGAGCTTGGAGAGCCCAAGTTGCCATCCCAAGCCGGAGCGCAACGACCCAAACATCCAGCTTAGGGTGTAGCGTTTAGGGTTTAGGGTTTAGGGCTCAGGGTTTAGGGTTTAGGGTTTAGGGCTCAGGGTTGCTATAAAGGTCCAAGTAGTCCTTATTTATGGTTTTAGGTGCCCCAAAAGGTATAAAGTCCTTAAATATCGGGTACTTGGAATTCTTAGGGGCTGCTATACGGGCTCTATAAGGCCTTAAGGGTTGCTACACTCAGGGTACTGTTCAGGGTTGCCAGAATAGTCCTATAAGGGTACTAGAAGGGCTCTAGAAGTCTATAATTTCTACTTCCTATCAGTTAGGATTAGACTGCAGCCAGTAATGCACTGCCCTGGAGGCCATGCTTACCAGTGAGGATGCTGCAAATGTTGTGGGCTCGCCGGCGGCGACCTTCGTTTGCTTAGGCAGGACCCGCTGACCCTCCGGGGCAATGGGCGCTTACATCCTGCAGATCTTTGTTTTGTATACACTGCAGAGGGCTGAAAACCCTAAACCCTAAATTGAAACCGATTGACTGGGCAACCGAGACTCGAAACTGCTGGCAAATGCTGTGGGTTTAGGGTTTAGGGTGGGAGACAGCTGATGATCAGAGCCTGGGTTCACAAACGGAGGGGGGGGGTAAGGCTGCTGGAATGCTTAGCTTAGAGATGTGCTGCGATATGACTTGGTCTGCCACAGATGGCTGGCAGGAAACTGAATAGGCCCAGCCCGATTCCATGCCGCTAGTCCTGGCACTTGAAGATCAGGGAGTGCAGACAGTATAGGTGGTGGTTGGGTCGGGCCGCTTTGCAAAGGAGCTTGCCTTACTTGTTGTATGATCCTGGTATGAGCCTTAATCTGGAAATAACGGAGAGACTATTCGTAAAAAAAAACAGGTTCTGGCAAGTGAAGCCAGCCCCATGAAACGAGCATCCGAGTGTGAGAGCCGAAATCCGAGCTGCTCCTACCCTCTGCCTACGTTTAAGCTACCAGGAGGCAGGTTACGGTCGGTGGAGTTGCAGCTGGGGGCCGGGGGCTTTTGGCAGGGATGGCCTTGGAAGAGAAGCCAAAGCTGCAGCCAGCTTCAGTCAGCTGCTACGAGAAGGCAAGTCCTACAACAGGGTTCCTTTAAGGGATCTCTTTCAGGCTTTCTTTAAGGGTTCTAAGTGTTCTTTTCTGGTTGAGGTTCTTGCTGCATTTTGCGGGTGAAGATGGAGGGCTTCGTGTTTATTGCCACTGTTGTTCGGGTTGCGGGCGATTCCGATTATGACCACATTATGGCTACCAGTGACCAGGGCTGAGAAGCACTGTCGCCTTGTCGCTTGTTGGTCGTCGTTATGGTGTTGTTGCCACTGACGGTTTGAAGGACTGAACCCTAAACTCTGCACACTATACCTTTAACCTGTAGGGTGATAAGCTGTCGGGGTTGAACGGCCGATAGGTACTTGTAGACCAGACCCCGGATTAATATCGGGGTCTTGATAAAAACTACCTAAACTATTTTGGTGTTCCTTATAATAATTAAAGTAGAGTTTAGCCCAAAACTATATTCTAATTACTAAGGCCCCTATATTCGACCAACCCCGGATTAGACATTGTGTTTTCAGGCTTTGGGATTGCATTCTAGGGTTTCGGGTGAAGTGCTAGACCCTTATTTTCCTAGAGCAGGTAACCTTTAATCCCTATGTAATACCTTTCTAATTCCCTGAAGATACTGGTTTGGAGTACTGTAACCCTTAGATCATGCCTCCTTAGTTCCCTGTAAGATACTGGACAAGCAAGTCCTTGACTTCGGGTTGGATTCACGCCCCTTGCCTTTTTCAGAGCCGGTGCCTGGAATAGTATAGAAACATGAATAAATGCCCACAGTATTCCTTCGGGTTCCTCCTATAGCTACAGTAGACCGAAGATACCCCCTCAAAGGCCTATTCTAACTCCCCCCTTACCGGGATTATTCGTATTGTTGGATTTACCAGAAATACAGGAGTTGTTCGTAGGAGCTGTGATTCGTAGTATATTACTGTCTCGATCGTATTATTTATTGTCTCCCCTCTACTCACTGGCCAGGCCTTAGAGTACGTGGGCCGTCCGGGCCACCCAGAACCCTGGGAGCACTGCGTTCTGCTGCAGCAGCTTGGGGCGGTCTGCCTCAGGCAAGGGGCCACGCGCCGAATTCACGGTTTCGGACTTAGGGTGTAGGGTTTAGGGTGAGGACTCAGGGTTTAGGGTTTAGGGTTTGGGGTTTTAGGGTTTAGGAACAGTAGACCCTAAACCCTGAAACTGGACAAGCCTCGCCTGCATCGCCGGAGTCGCGAGAGTCCAAACCCCATCCACCCAACCCATCCACCCCTAAACCAGAATAACCCTGCAGTGCGGGCTCTTAGAGCTGTCATCCCACAAGGCCAAGACATGATGTTTCAGACCCGGAGCTTTGGTTTGGGCAAATGATTTACCACCAAGTCTCATCAAGTTTGGAGGGAGTAAATCTGTAAGATCTGTAAGTCAGCTCTTCAGTGGCTTCTCTTGAGCCTTGAGGCGCTTTCGAAAGGTCCCACGCTTCTGGTCTTTCCTGCTTCTGAGCTGCTTCCGCTACTGTAGAAATCGACGATCATGAGACATCCCTGCTGCAACTGTTCCTCTAAAACTCCGCAGAAAGCAGCCCGAAGTGGCAAGACGGCCTTGTGCGGCAAGATTATCGCCACTGTTCGGCAGCATCCCACCCAAAATTCTTCCGATAGTGTAGGGCTTCCAGAGTTTCTCTAGAGTTCCTATAAAGAGGACCCTCACCCCTCCAACCCTAAACCCTATACCCTAAACCCTAAACCCTAAACCCACCTCCACCAGAATGCCTAGGCAGCACTTGGCGGCTCCAGGTTCCTTCGTGGCAGGGATCAAAGAGTTCAGAGCTTCCAAGCCTGAGCCGACAGTGTATGGGTAGTTCTCTAAATTAGGGTCCCCTTTAGATCCCCCCCAAAAAAAGTACGGCACTCTTACAAAGAGGACCCAAAAAGAGACCCTAATTTAGAGAACCACCCGTATGCGACTGAAGGAGCAACAGCTTTGGGAGCTCAGAGCAGAATGAATCAGGGGAAGATCCCGCGACGAAAGGCTGCAAACCTCAGCGATGCGGTTTAGGGTTTAGGGTTTAGGGTTTAGCTTAAGGAACAATCCTGGTCTCAACCCCTAAACCCTAAACCCTAAACCACCCTAAACCCTTGAAGTCCTACTCGATACGATGGAACGATGTTGGACAGGCTCGGTCGCCTGAGGGAGGCAGACAAGCCCCTCGGATGAGGAGCTCTTGCACGAGCTTAGCCATTTTTCTGGGGGTTTAAAGTGTGTTAGGTCATGTTGAAGGGCTTGAAAGTGTTGGGAAAGGCAGAAAGCTTTAATATGTCAGGCTGAAGGTTGAAGATGTAAAGCAAATACTCAAAGACGCAAGTCCCAAGGAATGTAGCAAGTTGCAGACCATGCTTATGCAAAGACCAGGAGCCTGTGGCTTCGAGCAGTTGCTGCTGCGGGCTTTGATAATTCAGGCTTTTGAGTTTAAAGCGTTTGGGGTTCTGGGCTTGTAGCAGGCCCTTGGAAGACCCAATACCTTCCCATCATGAAGTCCTATAGCTTTAACGGCTTAGGGTTTAGGGTTACGTCTAAAGGCTGTGTTCCTATTCTGGTCGGAGGTCAGATTTGTAAACTTGCGCTCTGGGGAGGTTTTTGGCGAGGGCCAAATTCCTCGTTTGGACGTAGGCGTGCTCAAGGCATTTCAAACGCCCAGCCCAATAAAGCACAAGGTTTTGCTCGTACTTGGTGGGTAAAGCTTGCGAAGCCAGCCCGGCAAGCCGCAATGCCGCAAGAGCCCCTAAATCCTAAGTTCTTGGCGTGCTTGCGGATCACAGTTTCGGGTCATTTGCATCTGCAGCAAGGTGGCTTGAAGACTGCAGCCGTGTTTGTGAGGAGGCGGACCGTCAGTGTTTTAAGGCCAAGACAGGTTGCAGCAAGGGCCAATGGTACAGGATCCCCCCGTTGAGATGACGCCTGCAGGGCCTCCACCCCAAACCCGAAAGACTCGAAGCAGCAAGCCGCATAGTAAGCCTGGAACCGGAACACCCTGAAACCTAAACCCTAAAGCCTGAAGCTCATCGCTCGAGCGCGAGTGTGAGAGCACACGCATAGCATAAAACCTAAAGCTAGCGCAAAAAATCCATGCCACCTAGTATCAATGGCCTTAAAGTACTTACTGCATCTAGGGACTACTGTAAGGCAAAGGGATTAGGGCAACTACGACACGAGGAGGACTGGCATCCTCAACCACGGGCGCTTCAAATCCTCCAGGCTTGAAGCTCTGAATACCACCACCATACCTCTCAGGACGGTATTTGGGTGCGCCAGCTCCCCAATGAACAGAGCCAAGCCACGACTACCCTAAACAAGGTGCTCGTTCAACCCTTGTGCCACAATAGGCCTGAGTGCAAAAGGAGCGGGCTCCTAAACCCTAAACCCTAAACCCTAAACCCTAAACCCTAAACTCTAAACCCTAAACCCTAAACCTAACGGCTGTCCTATCAGGCAGATGGCCATCCTCGTGATGCCGTCCTCTTCCAGCACCTTCGCAGCCTAGGGGTTTCTACATTGGTGCTACTTTGGGTTTAGGGTTTAGGGTTTAGGGTTTAGGGTTTAGGATCACTATGGGGATTCCATATAGGGGTACTGTCTAACGGTTCAACAAGAGTTATGGAGTCGGTTCTGGCATGCAGGGTGTTGGGATGCTTTCCGGATCGGAGTTTCCAGCGGTGCGGATCTTTGAGGCTTGTCCGTAGCCTCAGCCTTGGAGATCTGAAACCTTAAAAAAGTAAAGTTCCGGTCTTTCGGTACAGTGGCGCATGAGTCCTTGTTGGGGCCCCTCGTCGCATTCCTTGGACGATTCCCTGCAGAAGGGGTTAGAACGCTGTGTCTAGGTTCCCTTTTCAGTACTTTGGTCGGTTTAGGGTTTAGGGTTGAGGGACCCAACCCGACCGATGATATGACAAAACTGAACGATCGCGGCAAGAGACCTGAGCGCCAGCGTCAAGCGTGACAGAGCAATAAGACTAGAATTCAGTATTTGGGGACTCCACATAGGAAGGCGAAGACTAGGCTAGACCAAAGCAGCAAAAGCCAAATCGCAAGTCAAGCAGTTAAGCCTCAAATCCGGATCCCTAGGCCCTAGGCTCGTTGTAGTTGGATCTGTCGCCTGCATCTGTGCCTGCCTTGTGCGAGTGTCCGAGTGGCAATTCGGAACCTTCATGCGGTTTAAAGCCCAAAACCCTAAACCCCATACCCTTAAACCCCTAAACCCCTAAACCCCTAAACCCCTAAACCCCTAAACCCTAAACCCTAAACCCTAAACCCTAAACCAAGCCACCAGAGGCGGAGCTTCTCTACTTCCCAAACCAGGCTCGGATCGAGTTTTTTCCGGGTTTAGGGTATTTCGGGGCTTCGCAGGGCCTTTTGCAGTCTAGGGTTTAACCCTTTTAGGGTTTAGGGTTCAGGGTTTTAGGGTTTTAGAGGGTTTGATAGGGTTTTATAGGGCTTTAGGGCTTTAGGGTTTTAGGGTTTAGGGTTTTACGGTGGCTTGAACCCTTTCTTTGCATCTCAATCAGTTTCTTCCAGGGCTGTCTCCTTCTCAGCATGTTGGATCCATGGTTTCGGGGGCCCAGGGTTTGGTTCTAAAGGCTTCAGGGTTGCAGAGAAACCCTAAACCCTAAACCCTAAACCCTAAACCCTAAACCTTGCAGGTTGAGAAGAGAGCTTGCGGGTTGATCAAGTCCCTGGATAGAGGAAGTACGAGAGCATCAGATGGTAATCGAAAGCTGAGTACCGGTAACAGTACGTGATGAAAGTAGAGGGAGCCAACAGCCTAGTCAAGTCAGACGCCCTAGAAATTTCGAAAGCACATCGATCTCTGACGCCAGAGAGTGTAAACCCTGAACCCAAACCCAATTCTAAATTGGCCCTAAATCCTAAGCCCTACACCCTAAACCCTATAAACCCAGAACCTAAATTGGCCCTTAAATCCTAAGCCCGGCAGGCTCGAGTTCGCATCGATGGTCGCCAAGCTGCGGGCGAAGACCTCTATGGTGGGGCTTAGGGCTTTGGGTTCAGGGGTTTAGAGTTTAGGGTTTACGGTAGGGGACCAAGGCTTACTATAAAGAAGAATTCTAAGCGCTACGATAAGGCATTATGATATAGGGTTACCTTGACAAGCCACTGTGAGGGTTTGAGGTGTTGTTGCGAGCTTTTGGTGGGGCCTTACGCGCATTGTTTGCCAGGTACCTAAACCCTAAACCCTAAACCCTAAACCCTAAACCCTAAACCCTAAACCCTACCTACTGTCCTCGATCTTCGGAGCTGCAAGTACTTGAGTTTGGGAGCTTTCCTGGGCAGTGTCGTGCAGAAGTGAAGCGCCCTCCTTGCTGACAAACCTTAAACCTTAAGACCCCCTAAAGTACTAAAGCCCCTGAACCCCAAAGCCAAAATCGCTAAATCCCCCCAAGCCTTAGAGGCAGCTTCTATCCGGTCTTGGAGACATGCCGTGCTTACTCCTGCTTGCGATGCGGAAGCCAATCTGTGACCCGAAGCCCTCCACCCTAGGGAATTCTAGGAACCCTTATAGAAGCCCTTTTCGCAGCTCCGAAGCCCTTCAGGTAGATAGAAGCCCTGAACCCATATAGCACCCCTTATAGAAGCCCGTCGAGAAGCTCTGAAACCCTAAACCCTCTGAAACCCTCTGAAACCCTAAACCCGAAACCCTGAAACCCTAAACCCTAAAACTCCAAACCCTAAAACTTACAACTTTAAACCCTAGAGCTCTAAACCCTAAAACTCTAAACCCTAAAACTCTAAACCCTAAAACTCTAAACCCTAAGACTCTAAACCCTAAACCCTCAAGCCCAAGAGCCAGGATATGGGCAACGAGACGCGGGCCAGAGAGTTTGTGGCAGAGGCCAAAGCACTGCAGGCCGCCCTCTCCGGCGACGCGGCAGCTTGGCCCATAGGAGTTCATCGGTTTAGGGTTTAGGTGTTTAGAGTTTTTGTTCCGGTTTAGAGTTCATAGGGGTTTGGGGTTTAACTGTTTAAGGCTTTATGGGGTTTAGGGTTGGAAAGAGCCTTCTGCCGGCAGTTCGTTAGTCCGCGCTGAAAGAGCAGTGTTTCATAGGGTGTGCTTCATGATGCTCGCGTTCAGTGGGCATTGTTTGCGTTGCTTGTTGTCTTCGGTCCGGGTGGACCGGCTATGGAGGAGGGAAAGCTGTCTCCTTTTGAAACAGCCTTCACGGCAATAGGAATACCCATAGGCCCCATAGTAGTTCCTTTTTGGGATTACCTACTAGCTTCATGTCACTGTGGATGGCGGACATGGTGGGCACGTGACGACCCCATAAGTCGTCTTTCGTGGATGAGAGGAGGGTAAGCTTTGTTATCAGGGTTTAGACGGTTTAGGGTTTAGGGTTTAGGGTGTCAGGGCATAGGTGGAGTCCCTTGTCAGATGTAATACTTCGCATCTTGGTGACTCAGACTAACAAGGGGAGGGAGCGTTCTGACGGCGACCTAAACGCTAAACCCCCAAACCACATAATATACAGTAATGTACAAAAGTGTACTTATAATACTTATTATACCGTACTATATTGTGCTTCATATCTTCACTATCTTGTACTATCCTATTCTACACTATAGTCGAAAACCCATCGAAAGCAAGCGTAGCACGCCCAGGTGGAACGCCAGGAAGCTGGCCGGCCGAGGGCCAAGACAGCGACCGAGGATGCAAACAAGCCGGTTCCCAAGATGGTCGGGCCTTAAAATACCGGGGCGCGTGAACCCTACCTGGATCCTGAAGAACCTCACTTTTTGAGGTTCCTTATTATGATTTGATGATATAAGTCCTTACAAAGGTACCCTATCTGAAACCCTAGTCCCCTAAACCCCTAAACCCTAAACATAGTTCGCGATATTCTTCATGAGGGTTGCTTGTTGCGGGTTTGGTACAATGGAGCCAAGGCACGATCCGAAGTAGTAGGGCTCGATATTACATGGCTCAGGCTTCGCATGGTTCCTTTACACTAGGTAGGCCTTTGGGACATTTTCTATTTTCCCTTATTGGGCTTAAGAGGATCTTATTTACGAATATTTTTCAGAGGCTTTGAGGGTCCAACCTAGTACAGGCTCCTACTGCTTGTGGTTCATACATATAGGGCAGTCAGGGTGTATAGACCCTCAGCCTTAACATCCCTCAACCCACACTGCAGGATGTAAGGTTGCGAGGTGGATGAGGATGCCCGGCATCATGATTCTGGGATTAGGGTTTATGGTTTGAGGTTTGAGGGTTCCCAGGGGCTGACGTGAAGGCTTCAGGGCGGTTTATATTCTTTAGATCAGCGCAGTACCCTGGTTGCAGAGCCCACATTCCCACCAAAGCTTGCCGGACAGCCCGAAATGCCAAAACCTGAAAACCTACACAACCCCCCACCCAAAACAGTACACCCTATAAATTCTCAACGCCATGAGCCCAAATCCTACTAGACCCTCTGCTCCCCACAGCCCGAAGCCCCAAACCCTAGACACCCTGAACACCCTGAGCACTAAATCCCAAGCCCAATTATAGGGGCCTATTTATAATTACCGTATAATATACCCCAAAACCCTATTCTAATTGCTGGGGCCCCTATATTAGACCCTGCTTGCTGACCGAACCCTGCAATGCGGGCTTGTCCTAGCTAGGCGGGGCAAAAACACCCCAAACACCCTGAGTCCTACACCTCCAACACCCAAAACCCTAAACCCTAAACCCTAAACCCTAAACCCTAAACCCGCAACAGAACCCTGGCTGGCTCGGGCCGTGGGCCCTTGATCTAAACTCCGTTCTATAAAATCAACGCCTCTTAAACCAGTCCCTAGACCAGTTTATATCTTCAACAGAGACTCCGAGGCAACTTTGGGCGGAAGAGCCGGCAGAGGAGGTGATCCTCAAGGTCCTGCCAGGGATCCTCCTCGCTGGTTCTTTTTCGGATTGAGGGCTTCAGGGAGTTAGGGCTGGGTCGAGGCATATCCAGGTTTGAGGGCCTAAGGTTTTGGGCCTTTTTTGGCCTCGTAGCGGGCTCCCTAAACCCCTAACCCTAAACGGCTTCACTTGATGTAGCAGGTGAAGATTGTGTATTCTCATAGGGACTGGGAAGTCAGCTCACGGACTTGCCAGAAGCATCTGGAAAAGTGGCGGGAGGTTTGTTGGATTTTCGACGGGTGCTTCGGATATCTCTGATACGGTGAGGGCAGATTATGTTCTTGCAGTGCACCCTACCCGAATTTAGAGAACTACCCATATGAAGCACCAGTAGACAAGGGCAGTGTGCCACAACACCCTACTGCAGCATCATCTTCGACAGCCAAAGCCGTTCGAAACTTATAGTAGCCCTTTATAGGAGCCTTTATCGTAGGTAGCCCTTAAAATGACCCTTCAATCACCCTGCAAATAAACCTTGCCTGACCGACCTTCGCACGTGAAGAGCACCTGATCATTGGCTCACACGGCGCATCTTGCAGCTGAGTTGCATTGACAGACACTCGCGCCTGAACGACCGAAGCCAATAGACCAGCCGCCCTGCATTACACGCAGCTACAAAAATCGAACTCCTATTATGCTCGAGTGATCCTCTGTCTGGCAGAAGACCCCCTTAATAGGAAATATTGTTTCACGTAACCCAATAAACCATTTGGGAGGATAGGCGCAGGTTCTGGGTAGCATTGATGGTTCAGGGCTTGGTTCTGCTTGTTGTTGCTGGGTTTAGGGTGTGTATCTGTGGCACCTGGTGCAGGAGTATCGGTTCATGGACGAGGGCCCCACCGTGCTGGTCATGCTGGACCTGATGCTTTGTCAAGCTTTGGCTTACTGGCCTAATCACGACCCCTAAATGGAAAAAAGCAAACCCTGAACCCTTAAAGAGCCCTAAAGCCGAACTCCCTTTTTCCTTATTAAATTTGCCTTAAATCCTTAAATCCCAAACCCTTGAAATGACCTAAACCCCTGCAGCCGCAACGCAGCCCAGGAACGAGCACACGGGCTTAGGCATCGAAGCTTCGGAGTCGGTTTCGTCCCTGCGGCAATTCCGGGTGAACTGCCAGGACATTCAAAGGGTTTGGAGTTTAGAGCTTCGGGCTTTTGGGGCTTATATAGGGTTTAGGATTTCCGAATGACGATGGGGGATGATGGGGCGGGTTCGTAGTTGTTCCCGGGAGTTTTGCCGATCTCACAATTTAGAACTCGGGTTTAGTGGTTCGGAATCCCTAAACCCTAAGCCCCTAAACCCTAGGAAGGTGGGGGTGGACCTTCACACATGCATGCATGCATGCATGCATGGATGCATGCATGCATGGATGCATGGATGCATGCATGCATGCATGTATGTATGTATGTATGTATGTATGTATGTATGTATGTATGTAGGAACGAGTAGGACCCTTTTGCCCTTTTGTGTTCAAGGGCCCCCTTGTTAAAACCGAATCGGCCTGGA